GTTTAAGGTCCGTTTAGTACTTCTCGCTTTAAAGGAGAAGAGATAGATCGCTTATGGGGGCTACAAGCGAGATAAACGGAGGGCGCGCTTCACGGAGTTAGTGAGGCGACTGAACGAAGGGTTCAGGAAGTCTCTCCCACTGACTGATGGCACTCAACTAAGGTCGGGCCCGAAAAAAGAAATGTTTACTGACGGGACTAAGTAAGGGACGAGACAAAATATATCTATCTTTGGCTTTCGAGTATTAACTTCCTTCCCTTGTCAGGCCTTTTCGTCGAAATAGTCCGGTGTTATTCGAGTTCCTGCTGTAAGCCTAATAAGGTTCTTTATTCCTCTTCATTTTCCCAAAAGTATCGTGATCCTAACCTTCTCTATTCTTTAGAACCCGGGAATCTCTTTTTTTCCTCCCTTCTTCCTCAGTCAAGCGAGCGATGAAGCGAGACTGAATCCTTACTTCTCTAGCGTTGAACGAGTTCCGGGCTAAGGACGAAGAGTTGGCAGCCGGTCCGGAAATGCAGCTATGTCCGGGAAGCGAGGATTGAAGAAAGCTGTGAAATGCTGGTTTACTGGGATTCTTTTTATATCCTATAATTTAACGTAGTATCAGGACTATAGCTTTCAATTGAAACCAATCTGTAGTTAATAGTCAAGGAAAGTACAAAAGAAAAAATAGGAGGGTGAGGTAACATCCATTTAAAACCTTTCCTGTCTTCAGGTTATATCAGGTCCTATCTGCTTCCCAGGTTTTTGTTTTAGTACTCTATACTAACCTGGCTTCTTACAGTAAAAGACTTAGAAATTGAATTCCAAAAGGAATTTTCACTGCTTTCCTCTAGAAAGCTAAGGATAACAAGATCAATTCTATAAGATAAGGCAATTACCTTTAGCTCAAAGAGTTAAGGGTTAGTTTACCTTAAACCGTATCGTTCGACTACGGGATACTCATCAGAGCATCCCAAAAGTCTCTCTTGTGACTGGCAAACATCAGCTTTCAGCCTTTGTTTGGAAATATAGGCTTTTCTGTAAGGAAGAGGAAATCCAACAAAAAGAAGATAAAGCACCTTAGAAAAAAGGAACCTACTAGAAAGAGGAGTTAGCAGCATTCGGATGAAGTAGAGTTTAATTGCGTGTTGTTAGAGAGAACAAGGGGCAGATCAACTATTAAGGTATGAAGTAACTCAGAGGTACGTAGTTGCTCGACCAACGGGAGAGGAGCGAAAGCCACTCGACTTAAAGGAGAGGCTATGTAGTAGCTCTCCCGATAGGGAGAGGATTGAAGACGCTTAGTGCTAAGGAATATAGTTGCAAGCGTAAGCTCAGGAAGAGAATGTGAGCGAAGCAAATCGAATATATATATTACGTAAGCTTAATAATCGTAATTCTTACAGCTTTTGAATCGCATTGCAAATATTGAACAGGGCTGGTTGCTCAACTGCTCAACGAAAGGCTCAACCCAAGTAGATAAGAATGTACCAAACCAAGGCGAAACCAGTACCCTAAGTTGGTCTCCAATCGAAGTCCCAATTCAAGTGTGCCAAACCCGCATTCTCCTTTTGATTGGGAAGGATATGAATGAAATAAGCTTCTCAAAACCTAAGCACGACGAAGAAAGCTTCTGCCATTTAATTGATGGAGGAGAAGCGATAAAAGAAAAGTATCAAAGAATTACCAAAAAGCCCCGATCTAGCCCTGATCTAAGGTGAAAAGCGAGTCGATCTGGTATCCAATATCAAATGGAAGTCGTATCACCCTTGACATAACAGGGTTTCGGTCCCATTTCTTCTTGCCATAGAGGTCGAAGCTTCTTTTCCTGTTCCCAGGAGTGAACATAGGTGGGCGTTAGCTAGTGGCTTCAACCCGCTCTTCAGAAACTAAGAAAGAATATGATTTGCCTTCCTGCAGACATGGACTTTGACAGTCACTATTGGGTTCCATCCCGGGGCTTTTCAGGGGGATTACGGGGCTCTTTGGGAAAGAAACTCTTGTGATCTTCGTATCCTCCTCCCCTTTTGTTTACTTTCCCGGTAACAAGGATTGCACCTCGTCAAGGCTTTCTTCTCAACAAAATGTTTAACCGTCCTCGAGCCGCTCTATTAGAAAGGAATTCCAGGGCGCTTAGAGAACGTCTTAGAATACCTTTGAACATTCATTTTGTACCCGACCAATTACTTTATTAGCTTCTCACGTTGAGTTCTAATCGATAGAAAGGACGGAGACAAGCAAATTCAGAACCTTGCTCCGGGTTCTTCCTCATTGCAATCCGAGCCAACCATCAGCAATGGGGCTAGCTTCTCTTTTCGATCTTCTCTTAGGCTATTCTATGGATAGCATTGTCTACTCTTCAGCTGACATGGAACCTAATTATTAAACAGGTCTCTGTCTTCTTTTGACTGTTAAAGAGCGCTAACGACTAAGAATGGTTTTATTTACTAGTCCTGTGTGCTGAACCGATGATGTTAGGAAAAGATTATGGTGCCAAGCATCAGATTGGCGACGGGCACAGGCACACTGGAGTTTTAAGCTTCTCCACTAATGGTTAAGGGTAGATTGAATCTGGTCAAAAAAATCAGGCATGTAAGACAGACAGATAGATTAGGCTCACTGGCCTAAAAGAGGCAACTTCTTCCATTGATCTGAACTCACCAAAGCCTATTTCTCCGGAACGGATACACTCTTGGATCAGTACAGTCAGGCTGAGTCGCTTGATGAGCTCCTGAAGTCGAAAAGAAAGATAATAGCTGACCTTTGCCTTCGGTCAGCATACCTCCAAGGTGAGTAACAAATAGTCATTCCCAACCTCCATTGTTATAGCTTTGAAGCCTATAGCTCTAGTACCAGACCGGTTTTTCTAATTACGTATAAAGTCTCTGTCTCGTCTTTCTTGCTCTTGGCCTAGCCCCTTTCCATCTTACCAAGCTTAGAATGATCATTTATTCGATATTGAATACCTTTTTGACTTTGAGACTACTACTAGCAACGAAGCTCAACCTGACTCGATCAGTCTACGAAAGCAGGGGAGCGGAGATCTTTCTTTAAATCATTCCGAAGTCGCCTTTGCTGAATCGAAGTTATTCATTTCATTCGCTACTGGAGCCCGTTTATTTACTATTACTATTCAAGACGAAAACAGGATTGAATCGAATACGGAAAGGTCATGGAACCCATAGGCACCGGACTGAGGTATGAAATGAAGGACGAATTAAACTCGCTTCGGGCTCAAGCTTAGATAGAAGAGTCCAATGAGTCCACTAGTCCATCAATGGAAATTTGATAGAAAGCTCAAGCTGAGAAAGTCACAATCCATTGAATAAGATCGGCTCAAGGTGAGAGCTCAAAAAATAAAGAACCTCTCCTTTTAGTCGAGTGGGTCAACCCTACGTTCAGTCTCGTGTCTATAAGATCAACCGATCTGCTCCAGGTAAGATGACCCCAGCTATCACTGATCGAACCCTAGATGGCATTGATCTGAACACCTTGACCTTGATGGGATAAGATCGTTGGAACCTTCTAAAGGTCTCCGTTTACATGATCAGTAAGATAATGAATGAATTTTACTTTTCTGTCCTCTCCCTAATGGTCGAGCTTTTCTGTCCTCTCCCTAATGGTCGAGCTATTGACATCCTAGAGTAGCGGCCGCTAAAGGAAAGGAATTTCTTCGCTTTCGTTTCTTCCAGGCCCATGCATGAATGAAGTGAGGCTGCTCGACAAGCAGAAGCAAGCATTTCGTTCGGAAACTCAATCAAAAGGCGAAGACCTCATCCTCTTACCGTGTACATTCTACATACGAGATGCTTCCATCACGTCCGGGCCGCCGCCTGAAGCCGGAGTAAGAGTTGCCCTAAGTCCCATGTCTCGTAAACCCGCGCGAAATCAATATGGAAAGACCCGGTGGATCGTAGCATAGCGAGCAACCAAGTCAGTCAGTGGTTCGGAGAAGCGAAGTACTAGTAAGGAACAACCACCTTTCGTCGGGCAGGGCAGCCAGCCAATCGTCTTTCCCTCCTATTGACGATAGTACAGAGAGAGATGGGGGGGGCCGGCATATAAGGCATAAAATATCTTATTTTCTATATTTATAGTTTTATACTAAACCAACAAGCCAGCCATTAGCCCTCTGTAAACTGGAGTATGGAAGTGGAACTCAGTCTAGTCAGCTCTCATCCAGCAAGCTCTCTAACACTAGCTAGGGCTAACCTCTCTTTAGCCTATCTGTCCTCATGCTAGCCAATCTCTGGCAATTGGTCTATGGCAAAGGGTCATATTCAAGATGTGAACAAATCGAATGTGCACATTCATGCAAGATCCGGTGCTCTCTTTGAAATATCCGCTCTTAGAAGAATAAGTTCTTTCGGAAGAGAAGAAGTAGCAGAATCCGTCAGCTTGCCACAGAACTCATCCAGAAGGAGTATGCAGCCAGACTGACTACGGAGATAGAAAGAATAGGTTACTAGAGAATCGGATCTTAGATAGTGCACGAATGAATGCATAGTGAAAGTCAGTCTTGGGGTAATATCATCTTTCCTGCCCCCTAGGTCCTAGGTTGCAAGTAAGCTGCTCACTCTCTATTTCTTCGAATTCGATGTCTTAAGCAGGATGTAGCAAAGATCGATTTGAGATTGGGACCTGAAAACAGAAGCTAGAGTTGAACGATCTACTTTTCTATCCTGTGGGCCTATCCGGAAATAAAAAAGGTCTCTTCTTTATAGAAAGTAGCCTGCCTGGTCTGTCTCTCAATCAGTCTGTCCAGTCAAGTCCTTGACTTCGGTCGTAGGTTGAAAGTCAAAAAGTAGCTGCTCTCCCGACCTCCGAATAAATTAATAAGTGGAAAGCTTCGTTCTTACTCTTATTCTGCTTAAGACTTGGAGTTCGAAGTGGCATGGATCTAATGAGCTATTCCTCGCATCTCCTCCTGTAATCAGGCAATAGCCCACTAATCCTCATCGCTGTCCTGAGCCTTATTTTCATACGGATTATAGGAATCCCGATCTGGGAAGAAAAGCAATTGTTCTTAGCAGTAGTAAAGTTCCCATGGACTTTCCTCACTAAGTTCCCCCGGAGCTAGAGAGGTTTGAAGAGCCTAGAGATCAGTTAGAAGCTAAGGGATCTTCTTACCTTATTTATATGGCATTTCTTCCAAGGACGGGAAAGTAACTAAACCTTATTTCCTGCTAATTCTAAGGAAGGACGTGTCACTCTAAATATGACTTCTTGCTTTCCCACTAAGACCGCTTTCGAACTGATTTACGGCTTATCAATCTCATCTCTGGCGGTGTCAAAATAGAAAGATTACTTGCTGCTTTCAAACTGACTGGCCATTCTTTTCTAACGAACTTCCCAGGCTTAAGGGGATATGAGCCCAGAGGGCATAGGATTAGATGAACCGGTCTTGAAATAGATTATAAGGCTTTTGCCCTAGGGTTATTGATGAGTTTGGAGTTGGTCTTTGTGGGCAACTATTTGTCTACGAGCTCCCCGGTTGACTACGTCTAAGCCTAGTTCTCATACTAACTACGCGACTAACTTAGTGCCAATGCGGAAGGACGACTAACTATTGCGTACTAGCTCCTGCTTCTCCCTTAGGTGCTTTCTGCTCATTCTTCTCTGTCAACTCATTCCAAGGACTGGATTGTATCAACTACGTCCTTATCCCACCGGGCTAGAGAGAATAGGGGCGGTGACAGATACAGAATATGGAAGAGATTCCAAGGAATATGGCATTTCATCAGTCAGACTTACGCCTTCTCTGTATCAGGTAGGAATGGTGTGTTGGATGATAATCCTGGGGTTTAGACTTCCTGTTGCCTAGAAGAAGAAAGCGAAAGAATCAGACTTTGCTTTCTTCTTCTTCAATTGCAAAGGGAAGAGGAGATTCTAGCACAACTGATTCTGGGCATGTCCCACTATTGGCTTTCAGGTAAGTGACGAGCTATTATCCCGCGGATCGGTAATCCGCATCTAATAATCCCGGGAAAATGAGAAAGATTAGTCAGATCAGGGAGAAGCTGGTGCTATAGCCCTTGTTCAAGAATGGCTTTTGTTCAATCAGACGCTCTTGCTTAAAAAGCTCTCGTAACCGGTGCTTCCTATTGATGCGACGGTAACTCGATATAGAATATCTTAAGATAAGAAAGAAAGTTGCCTAGGGCAGATGAAAGGAATGCTAAAAGTAAACTAAAAAGCGTAAAGAAGAAAGATGTTTAATTCAAGATAACTAGAGCTGGAAATACCCTCTCGCTTTGCTCGAGCTACTACGTTCCTTCAGTTAAGAATTACTTCAGTTCGAAAGTTCGGAAATAGTCTCGCTCAGTCCGTTGCTTGTTCGGTCGAGATCTTCAAACCAAAGCTTACAGTTCTCTTTTGGATCCTTCATTTAGTGAAACTCAAAGGCCAAATCCCTTTTGGGATGAGCTTGTATCAGTACTTCGGTAGTTGATTGATATGATATTAAGCCTTTGCTTTTGACATGCCACAACCAGGTAAATCCTATAGTCCGAGGAAGGGAAATAGCTTGCCTCTTTTTTTGAATAGCAGAAGGTAAGACGTTCCTACATCAGAGGTTCAATACTGGATGATCCAAGTCCCTCCCTATCCTGGTTAACTAAAGCATTAGACCCATTCGGCTTTAGATACTGAGTTCCCAAGCTAAGACCCTGCGCTCTTCTCGCCAGCCAATCAGCGCATCGGATGGCCTCCCTGCCCGTGTGTTGGAGTCGTACCGTCCAGTCCCTCTCGAGCGGATTCCAAATGTCCTTTACAAGCCATGCATAAGGATGATCCTTCTCACACCATCTAGTTATAAGGCTTAAAGCCTCTATAGAGTCACTACACAGCAAAACTCTCCTAAAGCCCTCAGACCAGCACATTTCGTTTAAAGATGCCCCATAGTTCAGCAATGGTGCTAGGGTAATAACCCAAATTGCACGTGAAGCCAATCAGCCACCTTCCATCATGATTCCTTGCCACCCCGCCACACGCCGCCTTCGTATAATCCAAGCAAGACCCATCGACGTCGAGTCTTACTTGATCTTGTTTAGGTGGTGTACAGCTGTGTTGCAAGTCTTGTTCCTGTATAGATATCACCCATCTCTCGTTCTTCAGATTATCCTCCTCGCTCAACCGATGTAAGCATGCTATATATATATCTTCCTCTGTTCTATTCACTCCCTCCATAGCTCTTGAACATCTAGAAGTCCACAGTGCCCAACATATATGAGCAAAGATCTTACTCCACGGGTACTTTTTTAGCTGAACCATTCCATTCTCCTTCTGTAAGTTCCATACCAGCCTTAAAGCAAATGAAGGGAGGAAGAAGAATGAATTCCTCTAAGGACCGATCTCTATCTCTTATATTCAAGGCTATTTCTTTTATCAGACTGAAGGCGCCTCACACGTCCTACTCCATCATGGGGAGTTGGCTAAGAAGAGAGAACTCCGTAAGCATCTTTAATAAATAACTAGAGTGATCGTCCCTCGTCAAGAGAGAGCTCTGACCCTCTTTTTTCTTTCTTGCTGTCTTAAGAGGAAGTCTCAAGTCAGTAGCTTGTCCTTCTCGTGATCTTCCTTCCAAGATAGCCTTAACGGTATGTAAGTCACTAACCCACACGCCGGTCCCGATGCCTGAGCATAAAGCCAAGCATCCTAAATGAGGTCCATCATCGCGTGAACCCTATAGGTAGGGGTGGCGCCTTGGTATGACCGATGGGGAGAGATGGTACTTGACCTCTTCCTTTAGATGGTGACACCTCCGCTAATTGTCAAATTGCGTCTATTTAATCAATCTGTATTGCCTCAATGCAGGTAAAGAGCTTTGAGACTTCCCGCTAAGGCTAATTTCAATAATGAACTTTTTACGAAGATTCTGAAGAGTCTATTTAGCCGTGGATACGAAATAGAAAGTCTGTATCATATATCATTAGCCGATCGAAGACGTGCTCTTGATCACTCGCGGACCCTTTCTTTTTCTTTCTGACTGGAACCATTTGACTTGAGTGACTCTCTGGTGCGAAGCATTTCCTTTCTCTCAGCTTCAATCTCTTTCTTCAGGCGACTGAGATAGACAGGGTTCACTCCTCTCATGCTGGCAAGTCCTGCTATTGTCTTATAGAGATAGAGAGTCAAATATAGTATCTAAGATCAAGAGATATGGAATAAAAGTAAACAAGCACCTTTCTTACCCGGCTAAGCGCTAACGAGCAATCAATAACACTCCTCTCCCAGCAAGAAAACGGATGCGCGAAGGCGCAACGAGCAAGAAAAGGGATGCGCGAAGGCGCAACGTGCGGAGTCGCTCGAGCGTCAGCTCGAGCTACTTCGTACCCTTGCTTCTTCGCTCGAGCGTCAGCTCGAGCTACTTCGTACCCTTGCTTCTTCGTCTAAAGGCTTTCGCGCCCTTGCTTCTTCGGTCGAGAACTACGTGCCTCTCGCTTTGCTCGAGCTACTTCGTACCCTTGCTTCTTTGGTCACTTCACTCAAGCTATAGGATTTAAATAGTAACATGACTTCTCTTCGTTCTGATACTTTTGTATTGTCTGAATACAATACCTTCCTTCATTATTAATAGGCTATTATGCCTGGTATGCCTTTGCCAAGTCAGTAGCCTTTCTTTTATGCGGGATTGCCTGTTGATGCAAGGAATAAGGGCTGGCTTGATGCCAAGAAGAAGCTGGTGGAGGCAGCTAAATCATCTGCTGCACAGTAGTACGTATTAGGCAAATGGGATTTTTCTTTCCTAGGCTCAGGAGCGTAGTAAGAGGTCTTTGGTGCGTGAATGCTTGACTTAGAGCTTGAACTAGGGGCAATCCAGCAACCATTTCAACTGGATACCCTCAAGAGAGGAGGAGCCGATTCAATTCTTTCGGAGTTCTTCCGTCTAAGCTCTCAAGGACTCGGATTAGTCAACAGGAATGAAATCTAAGAAAGCTGGTAGCTCGAGCGAGGAGCGGAGCCTAGCCCTATAGCTATAGGCTATATAATATTCTATTTCCTCTGCTTTGAATAGTTAGAATCAAACTCATTGCTCATTCATTCAGAGCTCTTGTCGGTAAAGTAGATCGAGAGAGAGAATTGGCTTCTCGAGAATCTGCTGGAGTCAGATCAGTAGGGGAGTTCACACCGGGACTTTCTTAATAGAGAAAGAACCCATACCCGGGAAAGGCGATAACGACCCAGGGAAATGGTGAAGTACGTGAATCGACTCCCTATTATAGTCCAGACCTTACAACATAAAAGAAAGAATAAGGGACTTACTTCTTTCTTGACAAGGATCCTGAAGAAATCGCACATGCTCCAAGGACTTCACGGAATTAGGAGGCACACAGGTAGGTATACCAAGAGAAATGCGGGTAAGCGACGGCCTCAATAAAAAAAGTTTTTATTTCCAGAAAGATCCCCACGCTGAGGGATGAACCTCGCCAAATGCTCTTATGGATCACCCATTCCATCTTTTAGGTTCAATTTGGGCAATATGTATCCCGCTGGGTATGGCTCGTAGTAAACCTCTGTAAGATAAGGAGGATCATAGGGTAGATAACCTTTTCACCATTCTTTTAGAATGGTACCTTCAAGTAAGCAGGTCTCTTCAGGCACTCCCACAAGAGAGAATTCATTTTAGTCTCTGAGCTTTGATACTCCAACAAGAAGAGCCTAACCAGGCCCTTGAGATAACAGCCCATAGGGTAGCCCCTACAGAGCCAAAATGAAAGGCCTTCATCATAGGCTAGCATAGCAGACGGGGGAATGAATGCCAAATCTGAAGCAAACCGAAAAGCTAGTTCCCGTGGAGTGAGTCTAGTGCTTCCCTTTAACCTAGAAGCACTCAGTGAGCCTTCAACAATGTCCTTCCTGGCCTGTTGTTTGAGTTGACCGAAGGCGGCGGGTGGAGGGAGCTTCACTTACCGAGAGGGATGAATTCGAGTAATAGCTAGGGGAGGATCAAATCCGCTACACCCCTTATTTACCTTTTTGCTTTTCTTAACTTATTCATTGCCATGTAGAAGAACGCCGAATCCATTCTCGATCCAATAGAAGTAGGGGATGGATGGCATGTCTCATTAGCTGGCACTGGCTTTGGACACTGGGGTATAGGCAGGCTATTTGGCTATAATCTTCTTCCTTTCTATCCCTTGATGTGAGGAAAGGGGGAAGGGATCGTCATGCAAGAACTAGAAGAGGCTCCTCTCAGAGGTGGTCCTTCCTTCTATTGATCGGTTGAGTCGACGAGAGCTTTCCCAGAGATTCTCATAGATCGGATGATCCTGAGACCTATTGTACCTCAGTTGGGGGATCTTCCTGCGACTAAGCTATTTGTCTGGCCAGGCGCTTCTCTGTGGGCTCTTGGGAAACATTCTCATCTGGTGGATATCTGGGAATTAGCAAAAAACAGTACCAAAGAGGGCAAAGAGGCGATTAGACAACATAGGAAATCTGGAACTTTGTTTACTGCACTTTATCTTAAGCAGTGCGCGGTGTCACTGCAGCAAGCGTATGCAGGTTCCGAATCTCCGAAGACTCTGTTACCTTTTCCTGTCTCGTTGACGAGGTCAGGTTATCCCATGACTTTCTTATGAGTCAGCTGTGGTTTCCTATCTACAATTCATTAAACACCAGAAAAGCTTTGGTCTAGTTACGCTCGAGCGAAGAAGCAAGGGTACGAAGTAGCTCGAGCTGACGCTCGAGCGAAGAAGCACGTTGCGCCTTAGCTTCGCGCATCCGTTTTCTTGCTGGGAGAGGAGGAGGGAAGAGGCACTCAATGTTAGTACCGAAACTAATGCATTCCAGTCTAGTGGATAGAATAGCTTATCATTTCCACTATATCACTGTCTTGAAAAAGAGGTGAGGTATGAATGATTTCTGCTGGCTAACCAAAGATGCCTACTAGCCTAAGGGACTACTCTAGAGGGACTGATACTGGCTAAAACTCCAACTCGATCCAAGGTAGAAACTTCTACTTATACTCCAACTGCAACTGGATCTCCATTAGGAAGGGCTTATCTTAATATTGGAGGAAATCCAACATCTTTTTACCTAGAGCCTTTTGCACTTGACCCAACTGGATGACTGGGAACTTACACTACAAAGGGCAACCGCAGCAGAGGAAACTCCCACGGATGGAAATCAAAAATAGAGGCTATTCTATTGGACTGATTTCCTTGCTTGGCCTTGAATCGGGATTCAATTGGTCTTCTGTGTAATGGAGCTCTTTTAGCTAGTCTTTCTGTTGCACGAAGGCCATGAGATGAGAATCACTGGTTGGGAACGAAGGAAGTTCCGGGCTTCGAGAATTCGTTCTTAGCAAGAAAAGAATAGAGGATAGCAGTTCTTAGCCAGGCTTCTATTAAATCGGTTTAGCGTGGGTAAGAATCCGACTAAGCTTTTTCATTGATTGAGTCCAAACAAAAGAACGGGGTTGGATGCTGCTGACCTAGATGGAAAACCTGTGGCTTCCCCCCTGTTTGGTATTCCGCCCCTATGCTAAATCAATGAGATAAGGGGATCAAGAAGCTATCTTTGTTTGAGCGGCTTTCGTCTATTCTTAGATTCTCGGAACTGCTGGAAGACAAGACAGACTGGGCCCCCTGTCTTTCAAATTCGACTGTGCCGGCTACTACCTAATAAATGATATCAGGTTATGCCTCATCATCAGAGTTGGGACCTCCTTCGTTGGCTTCATTAAGACGGTGAGACTAGAATCCACTATCGGAAGTGATGTTCTCAATCGCTGTTCTCCCTTTATCTGCCCTGAAATGCGAATCTTTCCTTTGACATGAAACTCCTAAAGCTCTTACTCCAACAGATGAATAAGAGGTAGGGCAACTTACTTGGTAGAACTTGAATCAGAATCTCTTTCATTCTCTCTTTCAGAGCCTTAGGACAAATGACTGAGTGATCCTAAAGTACTCTAAAAAATGGATCACGAAAGGAATGGAATGAATGTAGTATACGAAGCGTAAAGTGAAGAAAGAAGCCCACACTCTTCTTTCCCCTTCCCTTAAAAGGGAGGGCCTCGCCTTGGAATGTAAACAAATATATCCTGTCGATTGCTCAATCTGACTTTCGCTATCTTACGTAGAGCTGAATTAGGTTTTTTTGGTTTTCTCATTGAAAGACGCAAACAGACGACTTCTTTCTGGGGACATTGATCCGAAGCTGGTCCGTGCGCCGTTTTTCTTCTCTACCATGACGAATCAATTGATTGAATGTAGGCATCGTTGTTCCTTCCCACCTATTGTTTCCCTATAATTCTCTTTCTGAAGTTCTAAAAAAGATTTATCGATTCATTATTCAGTTGTTTGTTCGGAATGAAGAAAAAGAAGTTCAAATGTTAAAGCACGCTCTCGCGAATCCATCTTTGAGTTGATTTAAGTCTGATTTAACGCTTCTTTAATATAATATAATATATGAATATAATCGAATTACTTATCTTATCGAATCGAATTCCAGGGTAACGACACCTGAAAGAAGAGGCCCTCGCTCCACGATTTCGAAGACAGGAAAGCGTACTCCATGGACTCCTTCCAAGACTGGATGGTTACCTTAAAAAAAGAGGATACGAGTTCACCCGCTTGCCCGAGTCCGAGTTGACGAGGTGAAAGAGTTCAGACTAGGACAGTTCAGGCCGGTGGAAGCCAATGAAAGGGAGAAGCGTTCAACCACTAGAGCAGAAGCCGAGTATAAGATCGCCCTTCTCTTCTATGATTCGGCCGTGAAAGAAGCCCACTTCACCATCTCTCTTGGGATGGGAAAGATCAAATGAAGCAAGCCCTCCTCAAAGCCTTTTTCAAGCTTCGAGGGAAAGTTGCCCTGATTCTATATCACATTCTTCAGAGAAAAGAACTGTCCTTCCCTGACCTACTTTGAGTCTCACTAACGTAGGGAAACAGGCCTGGCAAGGAGGCTAGAGGAAGGAAACTGCTCAAGTGAGCTTGAAGCAACAAGGGCAGTGGGTTCAGTTCCCACGCGGGGAAGAACGTTCATAAGTAGAGCTGCTCCTGCAGTTCCAGGGAGAGAATGTGTTTTCTAATCTGTTTTCAAAAGCAAGATGAGCTATGAGAAAGAGCAAGAACCCGGAGCGATTGGCCGAACTTACCCTAGCTCGAGCGACAGGGCGGTTGATCAAGGGATACCGGAAAGAGGCAAACAACAGAACCTCTGGGTTTGAAGCTTTTCATGTCGGGGCGAGGTCAATCGAGGGTTTTGGGTCAGTGAAAGCTCGAGTGCCCCCTTAATAAGTAAGGTGTTGGGAATGCAACCAGTGAGGCGACCCGTTAGGGCGGATGAAAGAAGTTCTCCTGAAGCAGCGTCAAAGGCCTCTGTAGGCCCTTCAACACAACAGGATTTTTTGTCGTGTAATTCTTAAAGATTTTAAATTTCTTTAAGTCTTATTAATAGTTTTTTACCCTTTACTAATAAGCTAATGGGGCACCTCACTCTCCCCCCCCCTACAACTTTAACCATTGACAACGCCCCCTTATTGACGTCGTACTTTTACACGTAGCGTATGGTTTGCTACGTAGTCTACTAGGACAAAGTCAGTCTTATTTAAAAAATGTATATTTCCGTATACGTTAAAGATGTATTTGTGTTATATAAGAGAGGTAAAAGAAGAGTATAAAAGTATATATTATTGAAAATACTGTATTGTGGATTATAATACAACTTCTACCTCTTCTTATAGTTAGTGCTCCATCCTATAAGTCACTGAACTCACTACTCTAGCACAAGTACTGACTGAAGTAAAGGCAAAGGTAAATAGAAATTGACTATTAGGACGGATCTAGTCGAGCATATAATCATATAATAGAGTAGGTGACTCGCTACTATCGCATATAGACTTAGAACCTCGCGCTACTTGAGCAAGTTATAGGATAGATAGTCGCTACTATAGCAATTAAGAAAATCCTATTCACTCACCAGTAGAGCACTGATTGGGTGAGTGTTCCATGTACTATACCTATCCGTAACCCATTAGTGTAGCTGAAAAAAGCTCGCTTCACATGGGCGACTTTGATTTCTCATTCACAAATCCATCTTTGTTCATCTTTATTAGTCTCGCTTTGGGGTTGTTCTTGGCTTTTTTTCTCTTTAAGTGGTTCAGATCATTAAAAAACTCGCAAATTCAAGTGGCATTCTCCTAAAATGGAAATGGAAAAATTCAGAATTATATACTTTTATAAAAGTATAAATAATTATATACTCTTTTTTTCTATTTTTATAAATAAGGAAGGAGGAATAAGGTAGAAATCAATCAAAAAATCAATGGAATTCTCTGTAAGAGCTGCGGAACTAGCAAGTCTATTAGAAAGTAGAATTAGCAACTTTGTCACTAGTTTTCAATTGGATGAGATCGGTCGAGTGGTGTCCGTTGGAGATGGTATTGCACGTGTTTATGGATTAAACGAGATTCAAGCTGGGGAAATGGTGGAATTTGCGCCTATTTGTATCTATTTAGTGATCAGTCTGCTAGTTTCTTTGATCCCACTCGGTCTTACTGTTCTGAGAATATCAAAAAAATCTCGTCGTATTGGTAAGCACCTGTTGTATTCATTTCTACTCTTGTTGACCTTTCTTTCAATGTGCTGTTTGCTTTGTCTGTATCTAGAACAAATGGACTTCTTCTATCTTAACATTTCAAAGGCGCTCATCTCTCTGGGGTGTCGAGCCCTCCCCTTTGCTTTATGGAAATTGGGCCTGCCGGGGGGACTTGCCTGGTCCATAGGTTTTGGGGCAAGGGTCCTCATTACCAAAGAAGCGTCGGATATAATGGGGCATCAGATGATGCCCGCGGGGTCAGATTCGAGTAACAATAGCTCGGGATGGACTTCCTTACTGGGAAGCACAGCCTCGGGCGTCCCTTCGCCCTCGGGCGTGTGGACACATTTTGAGCAGGATGCCTGGCAGGAAGCGAATTCCCGCGCATCCAGTTCCGGGTATAGTAGCTCGGTAAATCAACCGCAAAGAGGTGAACAAGCTATGCCTCCCGCTGCTATTCCCGTAGCAGCCGGGGAAGCGGAAGCCGGTCCATCTCATACCTTTCCATATCACGAGGAGGAAGTGATCGGGGGGGATTCGGTTCTGTCGATCCAGAATCGCCTTTTGGAGCACAACCCCAATCCCTCCGCGGAGGCCCTTTATTTGGCCCGCCTTGACGCCCAAGACCGCTTTGAATTCAAAGTGGACATCATCAGACGGATGTCCACTCTTGATCCAACTGGTGATTGGCTAAACCGTGGGGCGCGCGCACTCGACAATCCACGTACATCCTCAGGGGAGCCGTCCGTGGAAGAACTGTCTCGCATGAGGGACGACCTAAATAGGAATGAGCGGCACTCCGCTACATTTCAAAGATTGAAAGAGAAGGTCTTTTTGCGTGCGGCAAGATAATTTGGATGAAGATGCCGAATCAGAAGCGTAACGCTATGCTTTTGTCCCCTTCGGCATCTTCCTAATTTTCTTGCTTGCGGGAGGAAAAACCCCAGAGATTGCTTCGACTCAGAAATACAGAATTACCGCCTAGAATGCAGCCTGCCTGTTGAAGACCGTAACGTTTGTAACTCAGTGCTCCATACGTGGAAAATGAAAACAGAATTTGTTCGGATCCTCCCACATGTTGAATCTTTTTTTAGCGGTTTCCCCAGAGATCTTTATCATTAATGCAACCTCTATTTTGCTCATTCATGGAGTTGTATTTAGTACCTCTAAGAAATATGATTATCCACCGTTAGTCAGTAATGTGGGTTGGCTTGGATTACTTAGTGTTGCGCGCCTAGGGGGGCAGCGCGCTTTGGGATGCGGAGGAGCGAAGCAGCTCGAACGAATGTGAGAGGAGCAAAAAAAGCCCAGCTCCCTAACCTAATGCGGCACCGGGTTCGGACCGCAGGGAACCATAGCATGGGAGGACGTCTAATCCTTTTGCCGCCGCAAGGCTGTCTAATCGTACGCAGCAGGCTCAAATACCCCAGGTTCTGGAAGGCACATGAGTCCGAACGCTATGTTGAATGTGCGACCGACACTACACTACGTAGGTACCTGTGCAGGTGAGGCGTCGGTCGGTCCTAGAGACGGCGGCAGCTAGCGAGGAGTTAACGACCGGACGTGCTGCAACCTAGGGATCACCAGGCAGCTCTTTCGCTCTATAGGGATCGGGGGGGCATAGCACAATTCTTCTTGGAGGAGGGTTGGTTTGTCCGGGTGACTGATCCTGCCATAATGTACTCCTACCTATATATAGCACCGACAACCGAAGTCGAGCATACATACGACGATCTTCATGCGTGAATAGCCGGGAGGAAAGAAAGGGCGGTAGATGATAATGAAAAAGGGCGCCGCGTCTGGACGGGCGGGCGAAACGGCGCTTTACTAAGGCCTAAAGTCTTATGGTCTGATAATCTGCAAGAGAGAGTCACTCTCTCCCAAGGAGATCACACTACAGGACCAGGTTCTTAGTCGAGATGAGCTCAACGACCAATAACCTTATGACCCTTGCGAGTTTCCTCGCTGACCCAATCTATTATACGAAACATAACACCAAACCTAAAAGTAGAAAGATCTACCTTAGGCGCGTGCCAAGTCCGTATAAAGATTGGTGGGTCAATGAAATCCTGCAAGCTAACACAGGGATCCATCGCTATCTGGACGTACCATTTTAGGTAACTCAGATAGGACCGCATCCACCCCTGATATAGAGACCATTCAAGAGAGTCTCTATGCCCGGGATATGCGAAGGCATCGAGTGGTGGGTCAACAGGATCACGGACACGAAAGTGTTCACGTAACCGTTGGATAACTGCACCGATGACTTCGGGTGCTGGAACCCATCCAAGAGGACTGAGAGTGGTGACCTGTCGTTTAATAGATAGCGGGGATACATCCACCAAACATCTATTAAGACGAAATCGCTTGGCATACTCACATGCCCCCGTTGGAGAAATGAGAGATTTCGACTCCCAGCTCATTAAGCAGAGCTGTATACTCTCGGGCGACGCTATCATCGGCGATAACTATATCGTCGCCTAAGAAAGCATAGTCGCAAAACTTCTTCCCTGGATAGCACTGTTCAGCCGCGAACCACACCAACATGTGATGTGATAAGGCGAACAGTGGCCACGAGGAAGAGTACCCCAGGGGAAGACCTGTGACGAAACACACATTCGTATGTTTCTTCACGAATGTGACGTCAAAGACATTTGTACCAAGAGTCAAATTAACGACGCTAGATGCACAAATGACCGGTCAAACAGAGACTGCATCAATTCGAATAACAACAGAAGTGGCCACCTATCTGTGGCAGCTTTCAAATTGAGTATACAGTCGATGTAACGCCTTTGAGTCGATCCAGAGGGGCGACCTGATCAAAGGTCCCATCGGTCGGAAGACCTTTGAGAACTTTGGCAAGCCACTCATGGACCGGGTACAAAAGACGCTGATTGATATAGTTACCTATAGCAAACACGCGTCTTTTCCCGTCTCCAGTGCACGCAGCACAAAGCCGCCCTACATTTGCAGGGACCCCCAAGTCATCCGGAGTGGGTAAGAGTCGACCTATACGGTGCTCAAACCACTCCAATGACTGCTCAATAATAAATTTATTAATGCAAATCTCACATAGCTTGGCCACAGACATCCCTGAGAGAACTGCTCACCTTCCTTATGAACTTCGTTTATAAGAAAGGCGAAGCCAGCTAACTCATAAGGCAGACAGGTGAAGGACGACGGAAGTGCAAATCTTTTGAGGGATTTGCCATCCTTGTCCCCTGAACGCCTAAGAAGTCTGTGAAACCAGGCCTGTGAAGGGACGGGCGGGCGGAATGGATGAGCGAAAGGTGCCATGCCATGGAGTGAGGAATATCCCGAGTCTCATGTAAGACAACTAAATGCACCTCGAGGTGCTGCCGAGGAACTGGGGGACCTTCTCGAGCACAGGATAGGCAATTTCGAGATAGAGCTAGCCTTTTCGTTATGGGGAATCAATGCTCCGGGCCGAATAGAATAGAGCTTACCTCCGGCACCTGGCTTTCTCCGGCGCATATTAGCTTAGCTGCGATTAATAGGCCGGTTTGGCTTCCTCTCTGGCGGCCACTTACCTTACCCACGCTACACTCCCACTCCAAGCTACGCCTGCTGAGCAAGATGCATTTCGATTTCCTCTTCTGTGGACGCACCGGAATATGATCCGGGGCGGGAAGAGAAAGACTTTATTGGCGGGCTTTCTCTCGTAAAGCCAAAGACGCCCCAAGACAAGGGGGAAGGGGACATGATCAATAGAACCTGGCTGGATCCGGGCTGGGATAGTGACGCCCATTCCTAACCAGTTTCGAAAAGGTTCGCTCATGCTGGAGGGAGCATCCCCACTTAGTGATCGGTCCGCTAGTTCACGCAAATCCGAATAAGTTATCACGGACGAGCCACATGCAGGGAAACTTGCACGTGTGGTTCTGGCCGGGCTTTCCTGAGGTATCTAATAACCTTGCTTCTGCTCGCCGCTGGCGCACCTCTCCTCACTATTGCCCATTTATTCTGGAATAATCTTTTTAGGAGGGACAATTTTACATATTTCTGCCAAATCCTTCTATTATTAAGTACGGCTGGTACCATTTCGATGTGTTTCGATTCTTCCGAACAAGAGAGGTTTGATGCTTCTGAATCCATTGTATTAATTCCACTTCCTACTCGCAGTATGCTCTTTATGATCTCGGCTCATGATTCAATTGCCATGTATTTAGCTATTGAGCCTCAAAGTTTATGTTTTTATGTGATGGCAGCATCAAAAAGAAAGTCTGAATTTTCCACGGAAGCCGGCTCAAAATATTTGATCTTAGGTGCATTTCCCTCTGGAATCTTACTGTTTGGGTACGACCGGACAACTACCGATATCTAAAAATATTCTTTCTTAGAATGTTGTTGTTAAATATATATATATAGTAAAACTATCGGATCGGGATCGGGTATTACTTAGATGTGAAACTTGCAGACCTGGGGAAACGAAATAAAAAAGAATATATAGACTTGTAGAGACCCTCTATGTAGTTGTCTATCTGAGGCGATCGATCTACATCTTTCCTCATAGCCCTGGGGCTCTGTCTCGATCTCCTACGTGCGAAATCTGAGGGACTAGTTCCTATGGAGATTCCCCTTGGTCTAATTCCACGCCTTATGACGTCTTTGATGGGAGGCCTGGCGTAAAGTGAAGATTGAGGGAAATAGAGAAAAATTCCCTTCTGGGGTATTCCGAAGGTGTAACCTAGGCAACGAAAGAAAAAGGGGCCCGATACTTCAACTAGAGGAGCGACCAGTTGGTTCACCAAACCCCGACCCAGCGTCACACGTTCTCCAGGTCCGAAGGGATCCAGTGCCCAACTACCGACTCCTTCCGGAATTGCGTTATCGGAGCCGAGCCAGGAATGGCCGTTAGTGGACACCCACCACTTTTCACCGGTTAGAGAGGCCCTCTTTAATACATTAAGAAAAGATGTTCACAGGGGCCAGAAAGACTCGGTCATAGGAACTTAGACCGCCTACGCGCTGGTAAACGAAAACCACCTCGACCGGATCAGAGTAAACAACAATGTCGAATCAGGCCGCCCCTTGCCTTGAAAGAATTCACAGGCGGCCACCAGCTTTCCCAAAATAAAATAAATAAGGGGAGATCTGCTGCTTACTGCTCACGGAAACATCCGACCTATACTATAGTCAAGTCGTCCGCGTATCTTTCTGATCTCCCTTCCTTCTATTTTTCAGATTTTTTGCTTTGACCAATTCAAGGTGAAAAAAAAAATGGGGTTGATGGTGTTGGCTAAAAAAGGGGAAGAGAGGAGAGCTTTGGGGTACGCTCACTTCTGCATTTTTGTTTAGGTTATCGAGATTATAAATAGCTCTTTTTAGTGGGGAGGAATAGTGCGTGAATGGCGGTTCTCAGACGAGGGAATCGTTCCTCTCTAAATATAAATATAGGCTAGAATGAATGCTTCTATCGATAGAGCTTTCACGTCTGCGTATAGAATCGTTTTTTTGCCTTTCAATTCCGTTCTTACCATATCATGGGCAGTTGGGTTGGAATCCGTGTGATGGTTCGAGAGTGGTTTCAAATATTCTTCGCATCCATCTTCGGCCTTGTGTTAGAAATGTCCCGCGGGACTGAGTTAGTGGTCGAGTCGTTTTTGGTAATTGACACCCGTCGCATTAGTTTCAATTCATATGTTACCATTCATAGTGAAGTAGCCCTCTTTTTGATGTCTGAGTGCCTTATTCTATCTATCAAAGTCCTTCTTTGTCTATAGCTCGGGTCAGTCCCCCATGGTCTGCTTTGATTTTCTCGAACAGTGCCGGTCCGCATCAGGGACTCTCGTGCGAGCCATACAACGTTCCCAGGCAGGAACTGCTCCTTTCCTTGAGCTCCCTATTTAGTTCCTCCCATCCCAGGCGTTGATCTCGCAACGGCCCTCCAGCATGTCCTCATATCGCGTCCGTCACCACAGCTGCGCATCCCCAGATAGATAGATTGTTGCCATTGTGACTTGGTCGTCAAAATGGGCACGAACATAAAGTACTGTTCCATATCCCAAAAGTCTTCGATCCTTAGCATCTCGGGTGCCAACGAATGCCTTTTGTTTCGCTTGATTCGAACCATCTCCGTCGAGCCACTGCTTACGGCCTTCTGTAGTATGGGGACCTCGCCCCTACTCTCTAAAGCTTGCCACCCCTATAAGGTCACACAAGAAGGCTATTCGACCGACAAAACGTAGGAATTAGTGCGTGCTGAAAAATGGACTTTTCTTTCTAAGTGAAGGGCAGGAGCAGGAGAAAGAATCTTGCATCTATCTCGAGTTGCTCCCTTGAGCCCCGCTCAGGAGAATAGAAAGATTACCTGCTTTCTTCGAGTGAAAGTGTCTTTCTTCGGAAAATTATTCTTCGATGAAATCAATCCAGCTCTTAGGCGAGCCCATAGGAGAAGACTTGAAAGCATCGGTACTCCAAATAGAAGGAGTTGGCTATGAGTTGCTTCAGGAACTCAATTAATTTCCTAGCTCCAAACCAAAGGCACGAGAGTTGATCGGGGAATCGAAAATGCTTCTTTGATTGTTTAGGAAGAAAGCGTAGCAGGGGAAGGGGATAGCACCGGTCTTTACTCTGAAACTCTTCTTCTTCTCGTTGATTCTTTAAAATCATTCCTTGCTCTGTAAGAATGCTCCAAGAGAGAAAATTTCAGGTTTTTCTTATTATGTTTTTTTTTGGTTTTTTTTGCTACATTCGTTCCCGCGGGTAAAAAACATTCCAAAGGAGCTTTTACTGCATTTTAGAACAGTCTCTATTTTGATTTTATATCAGCTCTACATTTTTCTTCTGGTTAAATTTTTCACTTTTAACCAGTATCTTTGCATGGATGACTTGAGCCGAGCAGTGGCTCAATT